GTGCATAAAAACATACATATATAAAATACTAAACATTTTCTAAAATAGTAATAATAAATATGCACAGTACACACATATTATGTAAATACAAGCACTTATTTTGGTTAAAAATAAAATAAATAAACAAACAAATACAAATAAACAAATAAATAAAATAAATATGTCTATTTAGATTTTTGTTATTTAAATATAAATTTAACTAACTAAGAAAGAGAACATATGATATCCGAGTTTTTTTTCTTCTTCTTAGTTATAGATTTTATTTTTGTTTAGCTTTAATTATTTGGTTGTTTAAATAGAAAATAAACAAATCAACAAAATAAAAAATAAAACATAAATTAAAAATAAACATAAGTAAACAAAAATAAATAAATAAATAAAAACAAATAAATAAATAAACAAACATAAATAAATAAATGAAAATAAATACATAAATAAAGAAACAAACAAACATATATGTCTATTTGAATTAATATAAATGAAATAATGTTTTGTTTTTTAAAAATTAATGAACTAAGAAAAAGAACATATGATATCCGATGTGTTTTTTCTTATAATTTTTTTTGCTTATACAAGCATAAACAAATAAATAAATATGAATAAACAAATAAACAAACAACACATATATGACTGTTTATTTAAATAAATAAATAAATAAATGTTTTGTTATTTAAATATTAGTTTTAACTAACTAAGAACTTATTTTTGTTTAGCTTTAGCTGTTTGGTTGTATTAAGTAGAAATAAAAAAAACATAAAACTTAATTAAATCAATTAAACAAAATAAATTTAATTGAACAAAATAAAATTTTATTTAAAAGTCTGTTTAATTAAAAATAAACGAATAAAAGTTTGTTATTTAAATATTAATTTATACTTCATGAAACAAAATGAAAAAGAAAATGTTTAATTGTTTATATGCAGTTTATTATTTTCAGTTATGCACATGATTGGTGTGTCATTAAATGCAACTCAATGGCTACTACCACTCTGAGAGTAAAAAAAAAAAAAACACAAGCAGGCTAATCATTATTTAAACTTGTAGCTTAAAAAAGTGGCTATACTACATAAACCGAGTTGCATGTTATGAATCACCAAGAACTATAATTTCAGCAAAAAACAAAAAAAAGAAAAAAAATCATCAGAGAATGTTTAATTCAACAGCAAATATCTATTTTAAGTGTATTATTTCTGTGTTAAGCCCTCCTTTTTAATATCACACTAAAGTATTCTTCTGTTTTTACAAGGCCAGGACCTGAAATGCTGCAGATTTTTATGAATATCTTTTGGAATTCAGATTCAGTCTTCTTCAAACACAGATTAAATGAAATGATTTCACTAGCATTAAACCCTTGCCTAACATCTCCTTTTGTTTTCTACAGAAAACTGAATGTAATTAACCGTTGCATTTGTTATGAATACTTTATTTTTGTCGTAACTGTTCCTTTAACATGGTTTGATTTCCCCCTGAACATCACTGTCTGTGTAAACGCTCTGAGCGCTTCAGCAGTTTTCTCCTGTCACTTCTCGTTCTCTTCCTCCAGAGACCTGCGAGTGTGTTGTCTGTCACTCATCCGGCACCCTCTGTCCATTCATAACCCCATAACCTTTCGCTCCTTCTTTCCCTTCATCTCCTCTATCTATGCATCTGTGTCTTTTTTTATGTAATCTCTTCCCTTCCTTTGAAAATGTTATTATTCTGGTCTCCTGAAATCTCTGATGCTTTTATGTGGGTGGCAAAGCATTCTACACCTCTTTACGCCTTAAATTAAGCTATTATCGATTTATTAAAGCAAAACTCAAAAAAACTTTGAGAAATATTCAAATTTTCACTGATTTCAATGTTTTAAAATGGATGTTTATTAATATTTTCCATATATTGTGATTCACAGTTTTTCTGTTTATTTACTGTTTTGAAGCTCATCATGGGAGCTTGAACTTCGATCTGTCGACTTTTGATGTTGAAAAATAAACTGTGCAATTTAACAAAGTGACTTTTACTGAAATTGAGTTGTTTGACAATACACACTCACCGGCCACTTTACTAGGTACACCTGTTCAACTGCTCATTAATGCAAATTTCTAATCAGCCAATCACATGGCAGCAACTTAATGCATTGAGGCATGTAGACATGGTCAAGACAAACTGCTTTAGTTCAAACCGAGCATCAGAATGGGGATAAAAGGTGATTTAAGGGGCTTTTAATATGGGATTGTTGTTGGTGCCAGATAGGCTGGTCTGAGTATTTCAGAAACTGCTGATATACTGGGATTTTCACACATAACCATCTTTAGTTAATAGAGAATGGTCAAAAAATTTAAAAATAGGCCTCCACAGTCACCAGACTCAATCCAATAGAGCACCTTTGGGATGTAGTTGAACAGGAGATTCACATCATGGATGTGCAGCCAACAAATCTGCAGCAACTGCGTGATGCTATCATGTCAATATGGACCAAAATCTATGAGGAATATTTCCAGTACCTTGTTGAATCTACGCCACAAAGGATTAAGGCAGTTCTGAAGGCAAAGGGTGTCCAACCCGATACTAGTAAGGTTTTCCTAATAAAGTGGCCAGTGAGTGTATTGTACGAGAAATAATATATAATAATCACGTTTTTTTATTTTAAGATGAAGGAATTAAGTTGGTAAATTAACAGAAAAGTCCTGGCAATCTATTACCAGGCTATTGTACTGTAATGATGCGATATAATTCTAGCAACATTTTAGCTGATTGCGCAACATCTCTATCTCTATTGGAGGTGTCAGTGTCAGTATGGTTAAGAAAACACTTTAGTATTTACTAATAATTATTAGAATATTTTCATGCGGGTGTCTGACAAGTGAAAATAAATCTAGTAACAACTGCTACTTTTTACCTTGCACGTTTTTGTTAACATTTAATATTATTTATTAAGGATATGCGTTTTCACATTCTGACTGCAATGCTTCATTATAAATAGTTAAAATGGTTAAAATTCAATGAAATATTTGTAAGAATAAAATATATGTGTTATTTGGAAGAGTGTATTTGCATTGTGATGATAATATATTGTCATTCTGGCATTATATAATGATGAGTGGCAAAAAATGCTATTAAAATAACAATAATATCGTTTATCGCAATATATTTTGATGCAATATATCGTACAACAAAAAAGATATCATGACAGGCTTATAGTACTTTAAAGTCAACTATTTCAAACTTTTCAACATCAGTAGTAGGTGGAGAAATGATCAAGATCCCAGTGCAATTTAAAAGCATAAATAAATAATAATATTAATAAAAAGTGAGTCATTGTAAAAATATATTTTTGTACAATATATTATATATTATATAATATTATATGTATTTGTATAATAATCAGATTCTAAAATCAAGTACTTACAGTAACTAAATTAGCATTTTTGAAAATACTCATAATTACACTAGTTACTTTTTTATGGGTTACATGATTACATATTACTTAAATAAAGGCAGAATGTTGTTTGCAGTTCATTAATTCATCAATTTTTGTATTTATTTATATATTTTTTCCATAATAAACCTGCAGCTTCTATATACATACATTCATGATTCTTCACATTTGTTTATTTATTTATTTATTTTTTTTGCAGAGAGGGGGAGGGGTGTGCAATGATGCACAGATTCTGCCACAGAAATCTAAGTGACCAGTTCTCCGATATTGGTTTATGCAATGTTCCTGTTATCTAATTTTACTAAATTGCTATTTTTTTTTAAATTCAGTGTTACTACCCGCAAACAAACATTAAAAGCAGAGTATATAAGTGTTATAATTTTGAAGTATTAAAGTATTTGCACTTTAAAACAAGCCGTTGAGGCATTTGTTGCTGATAAAAATAGCACAAAATTAACCTACTTCAATCTATGTCACACTTTAAATAAGGGTTAGCACCGAAAGTAATCTAAATGTAATCCAAAAGCAGTCAGATCACTTTGGCATAAGTGTGTAATCTAATACTCGATATTATCGAATGACAAAAGATGTAATCTTTTTTTCGCAGTGTTTCTGTCAGAATTGTTGAAGAATTATCCTACTTCAATATATGACTTAAAAAAGGCTTAGTACAAAAGTAATCTAAATGTAATCCAAGAGCAGTCAGATTACTTTCCCATAAGTGTCTAATCTAATACTAGATATAAGACTAAGAATTTGTAATCAGTAACTGATTACAGTTCATAATTAATCGACCAAGCTCTGAACACGAGTAAAAGTGGTAACCCTAACCAAGCTGGTGTCCATCTATGTGCTTTTCAGTGCCAACATCCAATTAATATTCATGAGACAGGCTGATAAGGTCTCTAACATGCCCCCATTTCCAGATTGCTGGTTAAATCAAAAGAAATGGATGCGAATTCTCTCTCTTTCTTTCTCTCTTTCTTTATCTCTAAGTGTTCAGCAGCTTCTGTGGTGAAACTGTCAACACAGGGCATTGGCAACCTAAGTGCTGTACAACACCAAGTTAAACAGAACAAATTGTATCTCATCTCTCTGGGGGCCACGCTTGCCATTTGGCTAATCTAATCCGTCATTTATGGATGCCACTTTCGTTCATGTTGACAGACAGAGCTGAGATTTGCTCGAAACACCAAAATGCACACCGAGTGCATCCACACGCTTGCCCTTTCCACCGCCCGCAACCTCATCCTCCGCTCATAATCCTCCTCGTGTCCTTTTTACTTTCCGGTGTGCGTCTCATCACGGGGCGCCTAGCATGTTGAGAACAATTTTGGGCTGGTAATGAAAATGCTAATCGATTTCTTCCATCCCACTTATCATAATGTGCTCACTGTTCTTATTGAAATGCAAATGAGTTTAAAGCCCAATATGAAAACATTTGAGTACGAGAGCATTAATCAGCAGGCAATTATACGTCGGCAATATTTGAAACGTCATCTTGACTCGCGTCCGGAAATGTCAGCGCTTTATTAATTGCTGTTTCGCTGAGAGAAAACAGGTGTTTTTGGTGGTAAAGTACCTCTCGTAGGTAACAGGAGATCCCTCGCAGCGCTGCTCCCATTGCTGTTGGAGAGGGAAGCTGGCAGACACAGAGAGAAAAGAAAAGAAAAGATGAAGTGTGAGTGTGTGTTTGATATTAGCAACTTTCATACACTGTAAAGATTACACAATTATTGCGTGAATTAAAGGGATAGTTCACACAAAACTGTAAATTCTGTCATTATTTACTCATCTTCTGCTTCTTCCAAACCAGTAGTGTGTTTTCCAAACAACGACATAACTCGTGGCTGAACTCTCATAGTACGATGCATCGATTGGGAAAAGAATGATGTAGTGACGAGTGTTTCCCAAAACCGTAGTTGCTTTGTCGCAGATCCATCATTTGAATCACATTTCAACGTGAAACATCCATAATGATACTCAAAACAGGGTGGAGTAACAACTTCTTTAAAGAAAAACCCTATTCTTTTTTATGCAAATTATATAGTTTATAATTATATAGTATATAGTTATACAATATTAGTTTTGGTAAAAACATGCACTCGCTTTCCATATTAATTAAATCAAAAAAAATCACTTAGCTAATGTGTATTCTCAACTCATATACAGTATAAATCATAAAAATAATCAATGGTTGTAATTTACAGTAGGCTATTTATTAAGAAATGAAAAAACTTTTTATTATCATACATTTTTCTTCTTATTGTTATTAAATAGCATATTGTTTATTTATTTTTTATTTTATTTACAATTTTTTGGAACAGGCCCGTGTCATATAGGCCTACAATACAGGTTCATTTCTTAATAAATAGCCTACTTTAAACTAAAAACATTGAAAAAGCTTATGCTATAAATTTTTGTTTTCACAAACTTTGGAGACGTATCGTAAATTCGGCTTTTAAATCATAAGTAGGGCCAGACGGAATCTGCAAATGTTTTTTGCTATTTCTGCGGAGAATTTTGGTAAAAATCTGTGGATTTCTGCGGAATTATTTTGGGAATATCATAACTAAAACCTTAATATGTGAAAGAAAAAAAATATCTTTTAAACTTTTATTTAATGTTTAAAATGCAAACCCAATTAGATCCACTTTATTTGGTAAACAAAACAAGTCTCATATAAAATCTCTACTAAAAGACAGAAAATATACAAACTGCGTTGTGCATAAATCAGATATACATTTTCATATTAGTCAATAATATTACTGTAATTAATTTAAAAACTGAACAAATAAAGATTTAAACACATTTATTCAAGTAAATAAACAGAATTAATAATGAGCTAAAAATCTGTGGAATTCTGGGTGTGCAGATTCCGTGTGGGCCTAATCATACAGTAAGTCACCTACAGTATAGTTTTCATCATAAGCCCAGGCTGCGTTCAAAATAGCATAACTGTTTTCAAAGTGCACTGCGAAGGGAATGCAAAGGTCAATATGAAGATCGCTAAAACTAAAACTCGCTGAACTAACTATAAATAATCCTTTGAAAGCAAATTACACCTAAGAGAGATGACTAAGTTTTTGTTTTTAAAAAATCATTCCAAGTTTAAGTGTTGGAAGGTTCAAAACTAATAGGGTGTATGGTTGATAACTGGGAATAGAATACAGCCAGGAACTATGCTTCTAACTACAGCTCTAAAAGTGTAGTTGCAAATGTACAAGTTTGCGATGCAGTTTGCAAGTGTTCATTGGAACAATGGATTTGGGAAATCCCAAATCAACTAACTAAGTTTGTAACGACAGAACTTGCAACTTTAGTCAGCAAACGATGGTTTCGCAAACACACCCATCTGGCTCTTTCATTTGTTGAGTATAAAAAAGGAAGATATTTTGAAATATGTTGGAAACTGGTAACCATTGACTTCCATAATCTTTGTTTTTTGTATTATAAAAGTCAATGGTTACAAGTTTCTAGCATTTTTCTAAATACTTTCCACTTGAAAACCACTTGAGGGTGAGTAAGTAGTACATTTTCATGAGCTACCTTTACATTTTTTCTTCATTTATTACAAATCTCATATCACAATATAAGTCATTTCATATCCTGATAATGATGTATCTCATAAAATAGAACCTTCTCTGTAATTCAATCAATTATTCATCATTCATTTATTTTCCTTCAGCTTAGTCTCTATTTCAGAGGTCTCCACAGTAGAATGAACCACCAACTATTCCAGCATATGTTTTACACAGTGGATGCCCTTTCAGCTGCAACCCAGCATTGGGAAACACAAATACACACTTATTTACACACACACATACACTATGGCCAATTTAGTTTATTCAATTCACTTATAGCGTATGTCTTATATGGACTGTGGGGGGAAACCAGAGCACACCCTCGCAAACACAAGGAGAACATGCAAACTCCACACAGAAATGCCAACTGACCCAGCCAGGGCTCGAACCAGCGACCTTCTTGCTGTGAGGCAACATTGCAAACCACTTAGCCACCATGCCACGGTTCAATCAATTTATAGTTTATAAATATTGACCGCATGGAAAGCACTATTTTCTTTAGCATTTAATGTAGGGATGCACTGATGTATCGGTCACCGATATTTATCAAGCGATTTTCAATTAATTTAAAGCTATCTACATAGCAGCATTAAAATTAAAAGAAAGGCTAATAACGATGGCTTATTAATTACTGCCAATATGCTTGAACAATCCAACATTTCTCAAAGCTAAATCATAAAATATTTGCAAAAAAACTAAATGTAATCTGTACAAAATATCAGACCTGCGTTTAATATGTACACAATTTCAGACTTGGTGTGCACCTGTGCATTTGTGAGTGAGCCTCCTGTGACAGATCACAGGAATTATCCAAAAAACACGTATTTATTAACAAAAAGCACTTACAACAGGAACAAGAACATTAACCACAGTGAGCACATGGAGTTTGACAATACAATACCAGAGAAAGGACTAAACAAACTCAGCGGCATAAATACATAGGACAAGATTGAACAGATTACAAACAGTGGTGTAACAACAGGTGGAACTAATAAACATTAACGAACGGCGGGAAAACAGAACAAACGAAACACATGACACAAGCAGAAGCACATGGACCAAACACATGGGACGTCACATGACACAACCACTACATGAACACAGACACATCAGAAATTCAACAGCACCATGGGTCAAGTGCTGCCAAAACTATTGGTTGGTTTAGGCTAAAATCTCTTGAACAATAAAAGAAATCGACGGCACTTTAGAGAGTCATTCTTTTTTTTTTGGGTAGCAAAATGAATAAGTGGCGCAGTGGGTAGCACGATCGCCTTACAGCAAGAAGGTCGCTGGTTCGAGTCCGGCTGGGCCAGTTGGCATTTCTGTGTGGAGTTTGCATGTTCTCCATGTGTTGGAGTGGGTTTCCTCCAGGTGCTCCGGTTTCCCCCACAGTCCAAAGACATGCAGAATTGAATAAGATGAATTGAATAAGCTAAATTGACCATAGTGTATGTGTGTGAATGCAGGAGTGTATGGGTGTTTCCCAGTGTTAAGTTGCGACTGGACAGGCGTCTACTAGTACCATATAAAACATATGCTGGATAAGTTGGCAGTGCATTTCGCTGGGGTGACGCCTGAATAATAAAGGGACAAAGCCAAAAAGAAGAAAACAAAATATATAATTTAATAACAGCAAAGCAATGGCTTTATTTTTTAAGTATATTATGTTTTATTATATGTGAAATAAAAGTTAAGACTGTTAAAGGAAATACTGAATAGCAAACAAACTCCAGTATGACTTGAAGAATTGATCTACATCTGTACTTGGAAAAAAAAATATTTTTTTGAAAGGCAACATTGGACAATTTCACACGATTTAAGGCCTTTCTTCTGTCACTTAATTCTTTTCCAAAGCATTGTAACTAAAAAGTTGGGGATTGGGGTATTCTTTTCTTTCTTTCTGTTTTTTAGTCATATAGTTTATCCATTTAAGAAATATAACTTTTGATTATTGTAAGTTTATTCAATAACCAAATTGGTAATTTTTTATCGTAACTTGGGCAGTTAAAAGTATTAAGAACTTCAAGGCAAATGTTTGATTAAAATTATAGAAATCCAAAACAATTATTAATAAAATACTTTTTAAAAACTAATTACAGGCCCAACATAAAATATTGCTTAATAAAAATCAAGATGTACTATCGAACTTGTAGCTTTATTGCCATACTTTCATGTTTCTGTCTAAATCCTCATGTTGCCATGTAAGATTGTGCTCATCTAAATGATGAAAATATATTACCAAAAGTAATGCATTTTATAAATAAATACACTGTAAAAAATATATGATAAATTAGTTCTGACAGCATATGTTTTTAGGCCATTGCAACTTATTAAATTAGGTTAATCAAGTTCTAACTTAATTTTATAATCTATGCAAGCTGTTTTAAGCCGGTTTAACATGATATAAGTTCAGTGGACTCATAAGATTAATTTGATTCAGCTTAAAAAATTAAGGCAACTAGTAATTTTTACAGTGTAATAATGAATTAAATAAATATAAATATATATAAATAAATGGTAGAGAAATCTGAAATAAATATCGTCATATTTACCAGCCCTACTTTACAATAATAAATTATGTTTAAAAAACATAATTCCTTTATGTGTAACAAGTTGAATTGATTCGTTAAAGTTGATCCATTTCATTTCAGTGTTAGTTTTCAGTCTGTGTTTAAGATCGATATCAGATTGCCTTGAAAAGAGCTGGATGAACGTCTGAATGAACAAACAAGCAAAAATCAAGCTCCGTTTCTGAGCTTTGCCATAATATGACTTCTTAACGCTGATTAAAGTAAACACCAAAGACAGCGGCGTTCATAACTGTGGAAGGTCTTATTGCAATTGACAAGTTACTTAATAAACATGTCCAGTCGAGGTGCAAGTTCATCCATCACTTCTAAATTAACCAACAGCAATTTGGAAAGGCTTTTATTTTTAGCTAAGGGTGCGCACAGCGTTTGGGTCATGCCCAGAATGCAAACTGATGGAAGCAGCTCTTATGCAAACACTAAATTGAGTGTAAAATCAGAAACACTTTAGTATAAGGACCAATTCTCACTATAGTGGCATGTTATCTGCATGTTATTACGATATTTGCTGTGTATTAGTATTTAAAAAGTACATATTCTGCATTATCTTACTCTACATCTCTAATCCTAAACCCAACTACTACCTTTCTAACTATTATTAAGCAACAAATTAGAAGTTTAATGAGCTGAAAGTTATAGTTAATGGTTCATAAATAGCAATATTTGTACCCGTGACTAAAAATTCAGCTTATTGAGCTGAACGTCTTGGTTAATAGTTTATAAATAACAATAATTGTACTGTAAAAAAATAGAAGTTTATTGAGCTGAAGGTCTTAGTTTTTGGTTTATTATTAGCAATAATTGTACCTGTGACTGTAAAAAATAGAAGTTTATTGAGCTGAAAGTCTTAGTTTTTGGTTTATTATTAGCAATAATTGTACCTGTGACTGTAAAAAATAGAAGTTTATTGAGCTGAAGGTCTTAGTTTTTGGTTTATTATTAGCAATAATTGTACCTGTGACTGTAAAAAATAGAAGTTTATTGAGCTGAAGGTCTTAATTAATGGTTTATAAATGGCAATAATTGTACCCGTCAATAAATGAAAAGGTTATTGAGGTGAAAGTCTTAATTAATGGTTTATAAATAGCAATAATTGTACCAGTGACAAAAAATGAGAAGTTTATTGAGCTAAAAGTCTTGGTTAATGGTTTATAAATAGCAATAATTGTACCCGTAATAAAAAAATAGAAGTTCACCTGTGACTAAAAATTCAGTTTATTGAGCTGAAAGTCATGGTTAATAGTTTATAAATAGCAATAGTTGTACTGTAAAAAATAGAAGTTTATAAAGCTTAAAGTCTTAGTTAGTGGTTTATAAACTACAATAATTGTACCCGTGACTAAAAATTAAAAGTTTATTGAGCTGAAAGTTTTAGTTAATGGTTTATAAATAGCAATAATTGTACCCGTGACTGTAAAAAATAAAAGTTTGTTAAGCTAAAAGTCTTTGTTAATGGTTTATAATTAGCAATAATTGTATCTGTGACTGTAGAAATTATAAGTTTATTAAGCTAAAAGTCTTAGTTAATGGTTTGTTATTAGCAATAATTGTACCTGTGACTAAAAACTAAAAGTTTACTGAGCTGAAAGTCTTAGTTGATAGTTTATAAATAGCAATAATTGTACCTGTGACAAAAAATTCAGTGTAGTGAGCTGACAGTCTTAGTTAATAGTTTATAAATAGCAGTAATTGTACATGTGACTGTAAAAAATAGAAGTTTATTGAGCTGAAGGTCTTAGTTAATGGTTTATTAATAGCAGAAATTGTACCCGTAATTAAAAATTATAGATTTATTGAGCTAAAAGTCTTGGTTAATGGTTTATAAATAGCAATAATTGTCCCCGTAATAAAGAAATAGAAGTTCATTGAGCTAAAACTCTTATTAACAGTAATGATTGTACCTACAGTACGACTGTAATTCTTCCCAATTCCCTCTTATATGGATGTTTGTATCAGTTAAGTCAATTCTATTGGCTTCATTTTGTTTTCAACTCCTTCAAGATGGTGAGTACAGAATGTGCCTCAGATTAATTCACAAAGATGTTGTAAATGCTTCAGTTTTACATTCTATCATATTTTTACTTCTATATATGTTGTTTATGTATAATATCTAGTATTATTTTAAATGTAAATGTAGATAAATGCACAGAATACACATGTTAGATCTAATACCTATTGAAATGGCCATACCTTAAAACTTTGGCTTGAAGAAAAAGTAAAAATGTTACGTGTAATTGGGACTTCCAATGTGAATGGAATGATCTATTAGTTTGACATTGAAGGGGTTAAATTATGTCTTCTAAATCACAATCAGCAATAAATGTGAAATTGGACCATATTCTAAACTTGCACCAAATATCAAACAGAAACATTTGTTTGCTGCAGTAGGAGATTTCCAGTACCAGGCTGCAGTTAGAAGGCCATTCGCTGTGTAAAACATATGCTGGATAAGTTGGCGGTTCATTCCGCTGTGGCAACCCAAGTTGAATAAAGGGACTAAGCCGAAGGAATGTGAATGAATGAATGCAGTAGGAGCATCTTTTTTTCGCTCTAGACAGTTTTGGAGGTAATAATACTGAAAATCTTTGATGATGGACTTTGGCTGAGGGATTTTAGAAGGACCAAAACAACATTTCAGATGTTTTACAATGTGGTCAGTCTATGTTAATGGGGCTCATGTGCAAAGAAGAGTGCGTAAAGGTCACGCACATCTATCAAATGCATGTTTACATAGTAATTGTGAATTGTTTATTCTACACATGTTTACATTGTGAATGAACGTCGCCTCGTGGTTCCATCCCAAAGAGGGAAGAAAACGCTTTCCCGAACGCTCGCGCTCAATCTGCCCAGTTGGTGGAATGAACTCCCTAACTGCATCAAAACGGCAGTCACTCGCTGTCTTCAAAAAGTGACTAAAAACTCAACTATTTAGTCTCCACTTTCCTTACTAATATGCAACTACCTCTCTGACTCCTCAACTAACTACAAAATATATATATATATATATTACCAATGCTTTCCTTCTTAGACTTTACACACCTGAAACTTGCTTACAGCACTTATTCATTGTTGCTCTTAAAGTTGTGTAAATTGCTTCCTTGTCCTCATTTGTAAGTCGCTTTGGATAAAAGCGTCTGCTAAATGACTAAATGTAAATGTAATGTAATGTAAATGTACATAGAAAAACAACGAAAAAGTAGAGCATTGGAATGGATTAATGCAGTCTGTCAATCAATCAATTACATCAGCAGTAAGAGGCGTGTCTACAGGTATCAAAAAGGGGCGTGCTCTTCTTTGGTTATGGCCGTGTTTGTTTTGGTGCTTTCGAATATGAATATAATTTGTGAAAAATTGCTAATCCTTGAAATAAACCATATACACCTTTAAATAAAACACATTAACCTCTTTTGCTAATGTTTAATTGCCAGTGATTTTCCTCCAGTGCAACAGCTCAAGCTAAACGTGTGTTTATGAGTGTCTTACAGGTGGTGGATGTTCTAGACAGGTGTAGAAACGTTTGGTCTGGTCCGGTTTCACACGTCGTAGGGCCACTCTGGACTCTCCAATAAACTCATTATGAGTCAGTTTATCTTCATCGCACACCGATAATCTGAGAAACAACATGAAAAAAGACGTTGAGAGTTATTCAATTACACTGGAAGGGGAGGAAAGATAAACATGAAAGTTGTAACTGTAGTATGGGCGAACGTGAAAAAAAATAAGCCAATGGAAATGCCATCCTCAGAGCGGCAAGAGCTGGAAACGGCTCAGACAGAAATGTATATTTATGAATGGGATTAGGGTGATATTTCTGGCTCCGTCAGTTTGGTCGGAAGTAAGCGGCTGCTCTTTTTTTTTCTCTCTTCCAAAGCTTTGCTTGCGTATTTGCACACCCTCCTCTGCTTCTGTATACACTTCCTAGGAGATAAACAGCCAAATGACTTTTCTCTGACTGCTGTCACCCCGCCATGAGGAGAAAAAAAAAGGGCACGTTTGAAAACACCAGCAGTACCGGTCCAAGGTTGCCAGGGGAGACTGTTCATTTATAACATGAGCACACAGGTAATTTTCTGTGGATAATCACAGAATAAACTTGAGAGCAACAGCAGTCACTCCAGCTCTCGTGATGAGTCTTGGAGATGATGAGGCTGGAGAGCATCTTTTAGCATGGCAGAAATATCCAGGCTAAATATATTCCAGGTTATGCACAACAGAAACTGAACCATTCCTGAAGATTCACACTGCAAAATGCTTTTCATACTTAGAGTTCTTGTCTTGGGTCTAGTCTAAATATCTAAAGATCAAATTGCATTCTCTAAATTAGTAAGATGTATATTATTTTCAGAAATAATATGTTAAAATAATAATAAACAAGGAAAATGATCTGCAAGCGGAACAAGCAAATATTATATTACTATTTTGTATATGTATTGTATGTTGTGTGGTAATATTTTGGTAATGTGTGCATGGAACTTCGCCTGTGTTATGGCAACTTACTGCGATTTTAGTTTCCCTAAAAAGCAGAAGCGGATTTATCCAATAAGCTAGGTATTTATTGGGTGCCCACAATAAATATCTAGTAGAAATTATACCTATAAACTATGTATAACATCATTTTCTACCATATTTTGTATAGTGAGAGTCAAACAAATACATTTTTAACATAATTAAGTATTGTTTAGTATACACTCAAATTTAATATTATTGTAATAATGTAATGTTATGTAATAATAATAATATTACTAAATATAATATCCATCATGGAGCAGTCTAGCAGTCAAATTTCAACAATTTTTAAAATTATTTTTAGTTGTAAATAAATTTTAAGAAAACTAATCATTAAAAAAGGAGATCAGGGGTGGCCAACCCTGTTCCTGGAGAGCCACCTTCCTGCAGATTTCAGTTGCAACCCATATCAAACACACCTGCCTGTAATTATCACGTGGTGTTCAGGTCCTAATTAATTGGTTCAGGTGTGTTTGATATGCGTAGCAAGTGAAATCTGCAGGAAGGTGGCTCTCCAGGAACAGGAACAGCAATTTAAATGAAATTAAATAAAATTAGAAAGGGTGCATTTCAGGAGTTGGGCCCCATGGCTGGAGTTGCTCAGGGCCCCAAGATCACTAAATTCACCCCTGCTAAACGGGATAATAAAGTTGAGTGTCAGTCTACTTGCTCCACTGCTAGACTGTTTTGCTTGATTTAATGAAAATATTACTTAATTCAGATTTTTGAGTCTGAAAACAAGAGAAAAATAGTTACTTTTACTTTTCTACGATAACAGGGTATATGTAAGAATCCTAAAGGTAACTTCAAAACCTTTTTAACACTTTTTAAAGACCTTCTCAGAATTTTTTAAGATCTCATTGCCACTTCAAGTTGTAATCAGTATCAAACCTTTAGTAAACAGTTGTTAATAAACAGTTGTAGTAAATAAATCAATGGAGCACAACCATGCAACAGAACTCAGATAAGCTTAGAAGAAACAAAGCTTGAAAGAATAAATTACACGGTTGTTTTCAGCGACAGGCTTCAGTCACTGTTTAAATTCGTCTTTCTTTAACCAGGAGTATGAAAACTTACATTTTCCCATATTGCCGTCTGTTTCGCTCTATTGTTTCGCAACATGTGAAGATGCAATTCAGACTTTTTTTAATACCTTTTCACCAGCGATCACTTCTTGGAAGATCGTTGGTGAACTACAAATTCCTGCATTCCTTTTCACACACCGGTGACCATTTTCCACTGATCACACATGCACAGCCAACTCTCGTTACTGATTATCCGGACTATATATACACCCTACACACATCAGTCTGCAGTGAGTTTGTTGTCTCCCATCATGTATATTTCCGGTCTCTGTGTTTTTGCCTTAGTCTAAGTTTGTTGTTTGTTTTGTTTGTACTTTTGGATCGATGCCTTGTTTATGACCTAATGACTGTTTTGACTATGATTTTAGATTGCACTGTTTGATTCTTGATTTTTCCTATTTTTTGTTTATGATTACCTCCACGAATACTTTCTTTAATAAATTATTATTAAGTTGCACTTGGATCCTACCTCCCTTGTCTTCGCCATGCCGAGACCGAAACATGACATCTACTGTATGTACTGTACACTCAAAAAGATGACTTTTTATGCTTGTACTTATTAAAAAATGAGTTGAAACAACACAATACTTCTGTTTTTTTTAGACAACTTAATTGTTTTAAGTTCAATCCACATATCTGTAAAAAGGATAAAGTTAACTTAATCAATTTGTGTTGGGACAACATGAAGGAATTGTGTGGAACTCAGCATTTTTACAGTATACACAATAGACGAATTAAAGAGAAGCATTTAAATTAGGGATGTAACAATATTGTAAATACTGTCATACTGCAATAGTAATTTTTTTCAATATTACAGTAGGCGCATGACTCAATAAAACTATATTTCTGAGAAAAGTTTGCTTAGGCGAATGAAGCGAACGGGAGGTAGCGGGAACTACAATTCCCATCAGCCTAGGCATGGCTATCATCCTTTGCGGTCTGTTGTTGCTCTCCAGTAATGAGGAAATGGAGTGTGTTGCTAGTACCGGGGAAGAAAAAGAGCTGGAAATGATCGAACCTAAAGCGAGTTTTAAATCGGATGTGTGGACGCATTTCAGTTTCTTTCTAAAAAAGATACGAAAAAGGAGAAAAGGTGACAAAGAAAAAAACTGTATGCAGGCACTGCCAGACTGTGGTGAAATATAAGTCGGTGAATACGACTAAAAACAGTCATGGGGACTGCAGAACACAGCACACTTGTTAGATTGATGCAGACATTAGTCCCTTTCACACAGTGATACCGGTAAATATCCGGAAAGGTCTGTATGTGTGAAAGGGGCTACTGACTTGTACCGCAAAAAGACCTCTAGCTCACTCATGGCTTGTCCTCTCAAGTGGTGGAAAGACAATGCACAACATTACCCACTGCTGTCAACCTTGGCTAAATCATATCTCTCTGTCCCAGAAACCTCAGTCCCAAATGAGAGGGTTTTTTTTTCTGTTGCAGGGGACATGCCCAGAGATCCCAGCTTTTACCAGATTATAGTTATATGATAATTTTCCTTTAAAAAAACATCTCTTGAATGTAATGAGTTTTCAACAATACTAAATTGAAACTTAATTTTTTTTTATTTGGTTTAATAGTTTTTTGTTATTAAAATTGAAAAATTTAAGTTCCTGTTTCGGAACTTACAGATAGATGGCTAATTTGTATGTCATTGATATGTTCAGTGCTAAGGTAAATAAACTCTTTTGGCACTTTTTTCGAGTCTTTTCATAAGTTTTGTTTTTCCTGTAAATTATTCAATAAATACCGTACCGTGCCATTCATACCGAGGTATTACCGTACCGTGAAATTCTGATACCGTTACATCCCTAATTTAAATACATTGCATTTATTGAGAGTTAAAAGTATAAGCGTCACAATAAGCTTCACTTTTTTCAGTTAACTCCTTTGACGTCTGTGCTATTTGCATGTGTTGTGGATTTGCAGCTCATTTTCTATTTGTGTTTGCATTGTGAGGATTTTGCACCATGCGTGCTGTCAAACCGATGAAGATGCTTTCTTAATTTTCGGTGTTTTCTTAAGTTGCAGCACGTTAAGCTCTCCTGGCCACCGTACGGTTTAGATATCTGTACTAGAAAGAAGACAAAATCTCTAAGTAAGAAACTCCATATTTTTATGCAGCGCATAAGTGACAGGAAGGTTTGCAAGGCAGTCACACACTGTCACACACCTACACACCTACTGTCGAAGCAAGATATGCAGGCTCCTGTCAAATCACTGCTCCCAGAGAGAAGAGAATTTTTGAAGACATTTCCAGAAAAGATTTACAACCCGCTCTGAAAGAAAGACGGATTGGAGGGCGCACAGATGTCTTCACTAACCTCAGAGTCTTCCTGTGCATATCCTCCTCTGTGATGCCAACGTAAGTGAGCGTCTCATTCCAAACAGGATTTAGAGAATTACGTACTGTTTTGGTTTTCAGTTTATTGGCCTGTGGGTACAAAACAAACACACACAAAAGCAATATATATGAGAGGGAGGATGCAATATCTTAATCCTCTGATGTACATGAACGTCTTTTCAAAGGTTTGGGGTCAGGATTTTTTTGTTTGTTTATTCAGCAAGTGTGCATTGCATTGATCAGATGTGGGATTAAAGATGTTTCTGATCATAAAAAAGATTTCAAATGCTATATTTTATAGTCATCAAAGAAAAATCCAAAAGAAGTATTGAGTAAATCTGTTTTTTTTTTTTTTTAAAGATTTTTTTATGGCCTTTTTTAGATAGGACAGCATTGAAACAGGAAGCGAGGTGGGAGAGAAAGAGGGGGGGTGGGGTAGGGAAACGTCGTCGAGCCGGGATTCGAACTCGCGACGCCCTGACGAGCTATTGCACCATATGTCGGCACGCTAACCACTAGGCTATTGCGCCAACGAGTAAATCTGTTTTTAATGGTAATGATAATAGTAAGTATTTTTTGAGCATCAGATTGGGATATTAGAATGATTTCTGATTAATATTCAGTATTTTAATGATAACAATACATAACATTTTAAATGCATTGTTATTCATTTTGATTTAGTTTTAGTCATATTTTAGTCTTCTGAATCATAGTTTTAGTCTAAATTTCGTAAGATTTTAGTCGACTAAATCTACTTTAGATTGAGTTGATTAAAAATTATTTGGTTTAAGTGTAATTTAAATAAAACACTGTATACATTTATTTATACAAAATATTCTAACTTAAAATTAAATATTAAAATATGGAGTATAGCTTTTGCATTGAAGAACAAAAATTACAAATGCATTTTTTATTTGTATTATAAGTAATATGTAAAATTATGTATCAGCAATTAATCCACGGAGAACAGTAGCCTATTGAAACACAGAATTTTGAAGAGGGGCCTGGATGCAGACCTGGTCCAGATGCAATCTGAAATGCATTTAATGCTTTTTAATGGGCTCACCTAACCCCACCCCTAACCCCTACAAACCCCTCACATAACTCTACTCCTCACAGTGACGTCACTAGCTCCGTTGATTTCATTGTGTCTGACATTGCATCGCTGAGAGATGCAATCTCAGCCTGCATCATAAAGGCTGCATCCATATACTTTTAGACTTTTGCAATTATTTAGCACACCCTCAACGTGGTCTTTTAGACCAGTCTGTCAAACAGTTTCAAGAGCTCCCCCAGGTAAAGTGAGGAAAAGGAGGAGATGGGGTGGATTCTTCCAAAATGAAGATAAGGTAGTAGGGCAAAATCGGTTTATTTATTGTAAGCTTGAATCAATCTGATTGGATAATTGCTGATTACGGATGAGAGGCCAGCCGTGATCAATCATATAGCATGTTCCTATCAAACTTTGTTTGTAAAACTTCCCTTCGACTCGTTTTTGTTGATAGAAACTTGTTCTTCACAAAAATTATGATAAGAAAAATTTTGTCAATGAAATTAACAGTTGAAAACAAAAGTGATGTTTAACAAAGAGAAGATTCTTTTAAAAAAAATTTTAAAGAATAGTTTGAATAACTAATATCGAATGACACATTTATTTTGTCTTTGCCATGATGACAGCAAATAATATTGAATACTTTAGAATTCAGATTAAAGTATGGTTTAAAGGCTTAACTAGGTTAATAAGGTAACTTTGTAAGTTAGTTTAATTAGGCAAGTCATTGAATAACATTGGTTTGTTCTGTAGCCAAACAAAAAAAAGGAATATTAATAAAATAATTATAAGACATAAACAGAAATAAGACTTTCTCCATAAGAAAAATATGACTGGAAATGCTGTGAAAAGATTCCAGGCTGTTAAACATCCCTTGAGAAATATTTGAAAATACAATTTCACAGGAGGGCGAATAATTTTTTCTCTTCTATTATAAATGTTATAAAACTATTTGTTTCTTCTGGGATTAAAGTAGTTCAAATTTCTGCCCGTAAAAGACCATTTAAATTTTTATATAGACTGTTTGTTACATTTGAAGTTAGACATAAAAGGAATCCAGGTCTGTCTGACCTGTTTGACAAATGTAAATCGGACATTAATTCTTTCTATCATTGTATGTGGAGTTGTCCTCTTATACAGCAGTTCTGGGACTTGATTAGGCTGCATTTTAACTCCATCTTTAAATGTATATTTGTATTTGGAGCAAGGACTGGGTCTTAATGATATACCTTGTAATTTTTTCGAATATTATCTACATATTTTGGTTTACTTTGCTTGGAAATGTATCTTTGTAACGTCGATTAATGAAGAACCCCCCAGTTTAAATCAATGGCTGCTTGCAGTCTGCAACATAATCCCACTTGAGGCTTTCTCCACAGCTATGAAGAACAAACCTTTCCTATTTTATCAAACCTGGAATCCTTTGATTATTTAAGTCAAAAGAAGTGTAATCAGCCTTTTTGTAAAATAATTGTGTAGTCTATGTCCTTTTTATTTATTTATTAGTTTATTTTATAACAAATTTATTTTATTTTTATTATTATTTTTATTATACTTTTTCATGTGGGGGCCATGATTCAAATTACATAAACGATGAATGTTATTTTATTATTCAATGTAAATTTCTGACATGTTTTTGCACTAAAAACATTCAATAAAAATATTTTTGAAAATAATTCCAGCACGTCACCACTTTGTCAGATGGGGTTATTTCTAATTCATTTGTTAAAAATAAAAAACAATAGGGCCAAAAAATACTTGGACATCACATTCATGCTAATTTCTGTTATTGGCTAGACTTCTTAACTCCACTAGAGACCATTTTTCGGACAGTTTGGCGAGCGAGCTTTTCTGTTGCTGTGTGATAATGCTGTGCACAAAGCAAGTCATATAATGAAATGGTGTAGAAAAATGTGACATCCACAAAGGCTAGATGCGAATCCCATTGAACTCTACTGGGATAACCTGGAACGCCGACTGTGAGTCAGGCCCCATCACCCAACATCAATGCCTCTCTGACGCTTTTGTCTCTGAATGTCTACTCGCTCCAACTTCTGCTTGAGAGTCTGCCATGATGAAAAGCGGGAAGCTGTTAGGGAAGACCAGTTCCTTATTAATTCTCCTCGTTTTGAGATTAGGGGCCTGCTTTACTAAATAGGGTGAGACTGTACTGCCATAAAAGTGTCAATGGGTGTCCAAAGTTCTCTGGGTGATAATGGTAATGCAAAGATATATAAATATAGTACACAGCTGCAGCAGCTCATTTCAATAATGCCCCACACAATCTACAAAGAGGAGCGCAAACTAAGGTTTTAATATACTTTTAGTAAAATTGAAGAACAAACTGGTAATATGTCATGAAGAACCAAAATTACGTGTTTTTTTTTCCAATGAAACAGCTTTTCAAAATTTATGTGGTTACATTTACAGTACTTCAAACCACCACTGGTCTAATTTAAAGCAACACTAGCTACACTACCTGACAAAAGACTTGTCACCTATCCAAGTTTTAGGACAAAACAAATAATAACTTGCCTTCTAGCTGATCCTTTGGTATCGAAAGTGGCTTAATAGCTTTAATTATATAATTGGGACAGTAAGGTCTGACTTTGCTTAGACAAAAGTCTTGTCACTTAACAGAAATAATGTACAGTACAGAATATAAAGTCACGCTGCAATTAATATTATGTCTGACTCTCATAAGCTTAAAGGACTGCATCCACACATCTCTGCACTTGGATTGGCAAAGAAAGCAACTCAAATCACTTATTAATGAAGTCAACTGGATTGGCAAAGAAAGCGATCTTGCAGGACTCCCAGGACTCCCTGGAGATCATCAAGATTCTTTGGATTCATCTACAATGCCTCCTCCTTCATCTTACCCCAGACATGCTCAATAATGTTCATGTCTGGTGACTGGGCTGGCCAATCCTGGAGCACCTTGACTTTCTTTGCTTTCAGGAACTTTGATGTGGAAGCTGAAGTTTGAGAAGGAGCGCTATCCTGCTGAAGAATTTTCCCTCTCCTGTGGTTTGTAATGTAATGGGCAGCACAAATTTCTTGATACCCCTGGCTGTTGATGTTGCCATCCACTTAGCAGATCGTCACATGGCCCCATACTGAATGTAACCCCAAACCATGATTTTTCCTTCACCAAACTTGACTGATTTCTGTGAGAATCTTGGGTCCATGCGGGTTCCAATAAGTCTTCTGCAGTATTTGTGATGATTGGGGTGCAGCTCAACAGATGATTCATCTGAAAAATCCACCTTCTGCCACTTTTCCAAATGATCAACTAGAAGTCAAGTTATCATTTGTTGCTTTTACAACTGGGATTGACGACAAGACTTTTGTCAGGTAGTGTACGTTTTCATACAAAGATGCAAATTAAAGTTGTGTGCAAAACTTGTGTGGACCTTTTTTGTCATATAATAAATTACTTGTGTGTCAGAGGAAAAACTCAAACACAATGAAAACACTGTGGCTTTTGGAGATGTGAGATGCTCTTTGGAGCACAGTTGCCTAAGACAGTTCTAGAGGTAAAAATATTGAACATCTTTGATGACAGACTTTAGCTGAGGGATTTTAGAATGACCAAAACAGCATTTCAGATGTTTTTCAATGTGGTCAGTCCACTACTTTGTCCAATAAGGCCATCAAATCACAACTAACGTTTTTGATGCTCATCCTGGAATTTATTCAGTGAATGTGTTTCCAACATAGTTAAAATAGTCTTGTATTTGGTTTAAAATACATTTTTTGTCCTAATGGCAGATAATTTAGCTTGTTTTGGGGAAAAACTAATTATGACAGTTATATTTTATCTTATTAGAAGAGTTTATCCTATCCAGTTGTGCACATTTTAATGCACACTTTCAAATTTTATGTGCATCTTGGTGTTTCTATTAACCATTTTTAAGCAATATTCCAAAATGTACATAAAAATTGGAGAATAAACATAGCTAATTGACATATATATATATATTTAAAGCAGCGCTCTGTATGTTTTTCGACCTTAAAATAATGTCTCTAAAATTATATCAGTGGTAGAATAACCTTTAACTATATGAATGAATTCTGCTGCTGAGGCTATTAGATCTGCCCTCTGTCACCTGAAATCATGCGACCTGGTACACACAGCAATGCACATATTAGCCAGCGTAACCATGGAAATATATAAAAATGCCTTTGAGCTAAACAGTGCAATATGCTTTGTTGGTATGGTAATAGGTAATTGCACTTATCAACCACAAGGGGAGCCGCAGGATAAAGTTGCATAGTGTTCCTGTAATAGTTCCTGTAATTGAAGTTCTGTGTATTTTTGTTATTAGAGGGACAGTTTACACAGAATTCATCATTTACCCTTTCTCCACTTGTTTCAAACCTGTTTGAGTTTTTTCTTCAATTGAACACAATTAAGATATACTGAAGAATGTTGGGAAAAAAAGGATTTTTACTATGAAAGTCAATGGCTGTTTTTTTTTTTCAAACATTCTTCAGAATATCTTGTTTTGTGATCAAGAAGAGAAAGAAATCCTTAAAAGTTTAAAACCGCTAGAATCTAAATTAACCTATGCAGAAAATGGGTTAGGGCACACTTATTTCAAATAATACTGCACACAGTTGTTAATTGACCACAGTAAATATTAATAAATAACTGTATTCCAAATGTTCCAGCATAATTTTTTGAATATGAAAAAATTGTACAAATTATTGTGCAATAATGTCAAACGTAAAAAGATTAATTCACAATGTCAATGATACTTTTCCACTCTGTGACTCTAGTAAACCCTGACAACAAATTTGAACTCCAAAAGCAAACATTTCAATCAATCAATCAGTCAGTCAGTCAATCAATCACTCAGTCAATCAATCACTCAGTCAGTCAGTCAGTCAACCAACCAACCAACCAACCAACCAGTTAGTCAGTCAGTCAACCAACCAACCAACCAACCACCCAACCACTCAGTCAGTCAGAGAGTCAGTCAACCAACCAACCAAACAACCAGTCAGTCAGTCAGTCAACCAACCAACCAGTCAGTCAGTCAGTCAACCAACCAACCAACCAGTCAGTCAGTCAGTCAGTCAGTCAGTCAGTCAGTCAGTCAGTCAGTCAGTCAGTCAGTCAGTCAACCAACCAGTTAGTCAGTCAGTCAACCAACCAATCATCCAACCACTCAGTCAGTCAGACAGTCAGTCAACCAACCAACCAAACAACCAGTCAGTCAGTCAGTCAACCAACCAGTCAGTGAGTCAGTCAACCAATCAACCAAACAACCAACCAATCAACCAACCAACCAGTCAGTCAGTCAGTCAGTCAGTCAGTCGGTCAGTCAGTTAACCAACTGATCAACCAACCACTCAGTTAGTTAGTTAGTTAGTCAGTCAGTTAGTCAATCAGTTAGTCAGTCTGTCAACCAACCACACAGTTAATCAGTCAGTCCATCAGTCAGTCAACCAACCAACCAGTCAGTCAGTCAGCCAGTCAATCAGTCAGACAGTCAGTCAGTCAGTCAACCAACCAGTCAGTCAGACAGTCAGTCAGACAGTCAGTCAGTCAGTCAGTCAGTCAGTCAACCAACTAATAATTCAGTCAGTCAGTCAGTCAACCAACCAACCAACCAGTCAGTTAGTCAGTCAGTCAGTCAACCAACCAACCAACCAGTCAGTCAGTCAACCAACCAACCAGACAGTCAGTCAGTCAGTCAGTCAGTCAGTCAGTCAGTCAGCCAGTCAGCCAGTCAATCAGTCAGTCAGTCAACCAACTAATAATTCAGTCAGTCAGTCAGTCAACCAACCAACCAGTCAGTCAGTCTGTCAACCAACCAACCAGTCAGTTAGTCAGTCAGTCAGTCAACCAACTAATAATTCAGTCAATCAGTCAGTCAACCAACCAACCAGTCAGTCAGTCTGTCAACCAACCAACCAGTCAGTTAGTCAGTCAGTCAGTCAACCGACCAACCAACCAACCAACCAGTCAGTCAGTCAACCAATCAACCAAACAACCAGTCAGTCAGTCAGTCAGTCAGTCAGTCAGTCAACTAATCAACCAAACAACCAGTCAGTCAGTCAATCAGTCAGTCAGTCAACCAACTAATAATTCAGTCAGTCAGTTAGTCAACCAATCAACCAGTCAGTCAGTCTGTCAACCAACCAACCAGTCAGTTAGTCAGTCAGTCAACCAACGAATAATTCAGTCAGTCAGTCAGTCAACCAACCAACCAACCAGTCAGTTAGTCAGTCAGTCAACCAACCAACCAGACAGTCAGTCAGTCAGTCAGCCAGTCAGCCAGTCAATCAATCAGTCAGTCAGTCAACCAACTAATAATTATGTCAGTCAGTCAACCAACCAACCAGTCAGTTTGTCAGTCAGTCAGTCAGTCAACCAACCAACCAGTCAGTCAGTCAGTCAGTCAGCCAGCCAGTCAATCAGTCAGTCAGTCAACCAACTAATAATTCAGTCAGTCAGTCTGTCAACCAACCAACCAGTCAGTTAGTCAGTCAGTCAGTCAACCAACTAATAATTCAGTCAATCAGTCAGTCAACCAACCAACCAGTCAGTCAGTCTGTCAACCAACCAACCAGTCAGTTAGTCAGTCAGTCAGTCAGTCAGTCAACCGACCAACCAACCAACCAACCAACCAGTCAGTCAGTCAACCAATCAACCAAACAACCAGTCAGTCAGTCAGTCAACTAATCAATCAAACAACCAGTCAGTCAGTCAATCAGTCAGTCAGTCAACCAACTAATAATTCAGTCAGTCAGTTAGTCAACCAATCAACCAGTCAGTCAGTCTGTCAAACAACCAACCAGTCAGTTAGTCAGTCAGTCAACCAACGAATAATTCAGTCAGTCAGTCAGTCAACCAACCAACCAACCAGTCAGTTAGTCAGTCAGTCAACCAACCAACCAGACAGTCAGTCAGTCAGTCAGTCAGTCAGTCAGCCAGTCAGCCAGTCAATCAGTCAGTCAGTCAACCAACTAATAATTCAGTCAGTCAGTTAGTCAACCAACCAACCAGTCAGTCAGTCTGTCAACCAACTAATAATTCAGTCAGTCAGTCAGTCAACCAACCAACCAGTCAGTCAGTCTGTCAACCAACCAACCAGTCAGTCAGTCAGCCAGCCAGTCAATCAGTCAGTCAGTCAACCAAATAATAAGTCAGTCAGTCAGTTAGTCAACCAATCAACCAGTCAGTCAGTCTGTCAACCAACCAACCAGTCAGTTAGTCAGTCAGTTAGTCAACCAAATAATAATTCAGTCAATCAGTCAGTCAACCAACCAACCAGTCAGTCAGTCAGTCTGTCAACCAACCAACCAGTCAGTTAGTCAGTCAGTCAGTCAACCGACCAACCAACCAACCAACCAACCAACCAACCAACCAACCAGTCAGTCAGTCAACTAATCAACCAAACAACCAGTCAGTCAGTCAATCAGTCAGTCAGTCAACCAACTAATAATTCAGTCAGTCAGTTAGTCAACCAATCAACCAGTCAGTCAGTCTGTCAACCAACCAACCAGTCAGTTAGTCAGTCAGTCAACCAACTAATAATTCAGTCAATCAGTCAGTCAACCAACCAACCAACCAGTCAGTTAGTCAGTCAGTCAGTCAACCAACCAACCAGTCAGTTAGTCAGTCAGTCAACCAACTAATAATTCAGTCAATCAGTCAGTCAACCAACCAACCAGTCAGTCAGTCTGTCAACCAACCAACCAGTCAGTTAGTCAGTCAGTCAGTCAACCGACTAACCAACCAACCAACCAGTCAGTCAGTCAGTCAACCAATCAACCAAACAACCAGTCAGTCAGTCAGTCAACTAATCAACCAAACAACCAGTCAGTCAGTCAGTCAGTCATTCAGTCAACCAACCAACGAGTCAGTCAGTCAGTCAGTCAGTCAGTTATTCAGTCAACCAACCAACCATTCAGTCTGTCAGTCAGTCAGTCAGTCAGTCAGTCAGTCAGTCAGTCAACCAACAAACCAGTCAGCAGTTTTTCAGCCGGCCAACTAACCAACCAACCAATCAATCAATCGATCAATCAATCAGGCTTTAAGTCTTTTTATACCCACATATAGATTTGGTGTTCAGATGTCCAATATATATTTGGCCAGAAAGTGTATAATGAGCTTAGGCTATCAAAGTGAATAGTTGTTTGGACAAAATAAAACATCATGAATTTTTAAAATGCCTCATTAAAACTTATGCATTAAAAGTTTTAATTGGCACAAAACAAGATCTAAGCTTGCCCACCTTGCATGCTCCTGGTAGAAGATGAAGTTTGACATAAGGGTCAGCCAGGCCATTAAAATCCATGGGTTTCAAACCCTAAAATAAAAAAATAACACACAATGATTTACTTGACCAGGCTGCTGAATAAAAAGCATAAAGAAACAATGGTGTGTTGGAGCCCTGCTGAAATAAAACAAACAGCTAAAGGGTAAATCACCTGCAGGTTTTGAGTGTCTGTGAGTCACGCACAGGAGTGAGTGTTTGTGTGTGTGTAGTGAAGTGCAGAGGTGTGAGATAGACGTTACCTTTGCTCTGATGATGGTGCAGTTGAGTGAACTGGTGGCTTTCTCATACCTCAGTTCGAACTCTAGCGTCCCCAGCGCAGCTACACAATCACAGGAATGATAATGTGCACATTAATAGCATCAATAACGTATATATAAAACCTGTCAGGAAGCAGATTAAATGATCCATTTTGGAACGCAATTAGGAGGCGTGCATATCTGACAGATGGTAAGATGGATAACAACACTGCAAATTGTTATATTAGTCTGGGCTATGCATATTACTAATGGAAAGGCTTGATATTGCAAAATTATTAGCATAATAATTTACATTTCTTTCTCTTTGTTTTGCTCTGGCACCAATAAATTGTTATATAAGGAAATATATAACCAACGCAATACTTTTGTGTAATGGCCATGTATTCCTGCAAGGCCTATAAGTACTTTTATATGTGGACTGAAATTGCTTTATTTTGAAATTGCAGTCCAAAATGACTGTATATGCAATTGTCGTTCATTGATTTATTAAGATTTATTAAGTGCATAATGTCCAAACTTATACTCTATATCTTGATAAAGACAATTATGGAATTTAAAAGGGTGTCCAAACTTTTTCACATGCATTTGTCCTTCATACAGCTGATTAATTAAGATCTTAATGTGTAAACTTACTGCTGTCATCACTGTCTGAACTGCAGATGTCCACCGATGTCTCGATGCTGCTGGCTGCGGACAGAGTCCCACCTCCTCCTCTCGCTCCAGCCTGCAATGGAGACAACAGGCCTCCACTGGCCCCTCCAGAGGCCCCGAGGCCTGGGCTCAGAGACAGTGGAGAAGCAGGGTTCGGAGAGACGGGCTCAGCGGTTGGGGAGAGACGGGGGAAATAGGCAGAGATCTGTCTAATTGGTCGTATGGGGCCCGGACAGACGTCTATGGCCATGTGTTCCTGAATGGAGATGGTGAGCTTTTTTCCCTTACGCACCGTCATAGAGCTAAAGCAGAGAGAAAGAGAGATTTTTTTCACACACCTGTATGGAAATCTGATACATGGCCATAATTAAACACATACATACAATAATTTTGACCCTAAAAGAGTTTTAAAAGAAATTATAAACTGCTTTTATTCTAGCCAAAATAAAGCAAGTACGACTTTCTCCAGAAGAAAAAATGTTATAGGAAATACTGTGAAAAATGCCTTGCTTTGTTAAACATGATTTGGGAAATATTTAAAAAAAGAAAAAAAAATTACAAAAGGGCTAATAATTTTGACTTCAACTGTAAATGTACATATTCAGGGCTTGACATTAGCTTTCTTGTTCAACAGCCACTGCGGCTGGTAGTTTTCCAACATTACTAGCCACTTGCCATTTTCACTAGCCACAATTATGTTGTTGGGAAAATATATTTTACATGCATAAAATTTGAATTTGGCATGCTAAAATTACTTGATTTAGATTGTTATTTCCACATGCCTCTTCGTTCATTTAACTTTTTTTGTGTTGTGTATGAGCTTGCTCAATGAGCACTATCAAATGGGTTAAGGTTTCATAGTGTCGCATTGCAATTAGTTTTATTTCACATGACTTTTCAGGGCTCAACGCTAAAAATGTATTTTTTCTTAATTTTCTCTGACCACACCAATAATGATTATTTCTTAGCCACAATTTTTAAATAATATGTTTTAAGACAAGCAAAATATAGCTGTATACATGCATTTTTAACAATTTTTTAACAATTGACATCAAAAAAAAATTATTGCAGTGTATTTAAAATAATGGCTAGGTCTCTCAGATCACCAGTTAACTACACACAAATGGGGAGTTAATCTCCTATTAAAGAGTCAATACTGTCATTGTAAAAAATGATAATTAAATCATTAACAAAAATAACCCTAAGCAAAAGAAAGCAGGTGAAAAACATAGGCCTACTGCGTGTGATAATAATAGGCCCATATCAATCTGTTCAAAGAGTGGTTAAAGTGAAAGTGGCAACCGGTGTTGGTTGCAAAAAGACATTTTTAAAAACATCTGAAGCATTGAGAGCAGCAGGACTGTGGGTGCACGAGGATCTCTTTTTGTCAAGTCTATTTTAAAGAAAACCAATAGCAGCCGTTGCGTTTCCAGGCACGGCTGCTTCGCATCAGAAAACGGGAACGTGTACGCTTTTCCAAGAGTTCACACTTAGCTGATGATTTATACATCTTTTTTGGTGTGCTGTGCCGGGAGAGAGCCCTGAGCTCAAGGGATCCTCGGGCCCAGGGCTCCTCCCTTTCACAGGGCAAGGGGGAAATTGAGCTCAGGTTGATTTCAAACTCCCCCGCTGCTGAGGCCAAGGTGAACTTCCTGAGAGTAAGACATTAGAAAAAAAGATTTAGGCTTATTTTCTAGAATAAATATCTATGAAATCTATAATATAGAGCATATTTGGACGGTGGGAGGAAAATGGGGAACCAGGGGAAACCCATGTGGGAAAACATGCAAACTCCGCACAGAAATATGGCCCATGCGAGGACCAGACGCCATTGGTATTCTTGCAGTGAGGCAACAGTGCTAAGGTGGAAATAGAGGAGGGTGGTTTCTTCCAGACAAAGACAGTTGTAGAAAGAAAATGAGGATATATATAGTGATTTGGGATTCTTTGATTGGAGGATCATGATTAGCTAATATGGGCCAGCTTGGTCAATCATGTGCATGTGCTCCTCTCGAAATTAGTTTAAAATTAAACTTCACTTAAACAGTGATCATCCTCTTATTCGGTATTCACCTGCTTTCTTTTGCTCGCGCAAACATTATTTTTGGCAGTGATTTTTCTTTTTTATTTTGAGATCACATTTGCATACATATTAAGCCATCCTTATTATCGAACCCTGCTTTTAAGAAAACTACTTTTAAAAAATCATTTTCAACCAGCCAAAGTAGCTAGTGGGAGTGACTGTCTAACCAGCCGGGTGTTAATGTCAATGTCTGTCATATATATAATTAGAATACATTACCACATATCAGATTTCTATATGGTGAATTCAATGCTAAAGAAACAGTTCCATTAAACACAATTTTGATTAAAGGGATTACGCAACAAATAAATGAAAATATGTTTTTATTTTCACAACATTTGCTGTTTCAAACCTTAACTCTAGTTCTTGAGCAAAACAACACTAGATCCACTGACTTCAATAAAAATATCACCTTATTTAATTATTTATTGGTCATGTAAGTTTGTAAAATCATAAAAAGAAATACATTTTCAAAATTGCTTTAAACCAATGTTCTCAAACTTCATTCCTGGAGGACCGCAGCTCTGCAGACTTTAGCCCCAACCACCTCCAACTCACACCTGCTTAATTCACCTTATTCACCGCCGACGAGTGGGCGCTGCCATTTGAATCTTTTTGGCTTGAGACTTCCGGTGTCATTCACTTCCATTCATTTTTTGACGTTAAAAACTGCTCATTACGCTGCTTGATGTTGCAATTTGATATTTTCTTATTATATTATTCTACTTGGACTGTATACAGTAGTCATGCAAACATTTGTTTGTAGAGCAAGTAGTTTGACCGTTTTCTGCCGTTTATTATTCCTAGTCATTTCTCCCATAGGCGACTGAACCGGAAGTTCTAAGACAATCGCAAAAACAGGCGCACTTCCGCATTTTAGAATAAGGTCAATAGTCTCTAGTAGTCTTAAACATATATAATTACTGTAGTTGGATCAGCTGTGTTTGATTAAGGTTGGAGCAAAATTAAGTTTGAGACCTATGCTAAACTGTTGCTATATGGCTACATTTAGACTATTAACCTTGCTGATACATTCTGATTTATTGCTTATGTATTTTTTTTTTATAATGTCTACATTAAATCAAGAGGACCAAATTTACTTTGTTATCTTGAAATGATCTTCTTAAGGTGAACAAATAAACTGCATGTAAATCCACAGAAAAAGAAATGGCCTTGCTAATCTTTAATCTAAATCTGATAATTGGCATTCCTTTTCTTTCGGTTTGATGACTTAGCCACATTATTCTTCATCACTCCTCTCCTCTCTAAAATAAAACCCCTGCCCTCTATTCAATATCCAGTTCCAGCTGGAAAAATGTCACAACACTGAATTAAAGTCAGTGGGAAATTGTGGTTCATGCAGACTTTTAAATATGAAAGACTATACTTACACATCAAGCAGTGGTTCTCAGTTATAAGTTATAGTTCAGATGGGATTTATTGTTATTTGTGGATAATTTGGGGCCAGTAACAGAATTCAGTGTGAACTGACCACAGTTCTGAACCGAACACTTACAAAAGTACCATAACAGAACCACATGCACTGACAAATGAAAGCAAATGTGACGTTTATTTACTTATTGATTATGTGATATGTGACAATTAATTAATTCATTCATTTTTCTTCAGTTTAGTGTCTTATTTATCAGGGGTTGCCACAGCGGAATGAACCGCCAACTATTCCAGTATATGTTTTACCAGCGGATGTGATTCCAGCCGCAACCCAGTACTGGGAAAAATAATAACAATAATAATAATAATAATAATAATAATAATAATAATAATAATAATAATAATAACATATTATATAAATATATATATATATATATATATATATATATATATATATATATATATATATATATATATATATAATTTTATTAATATAATAATCACGGTGGCGCAGTGGGTAACACGATCGCATCACAGCAAGAAGGTTGCTGGGTTGAGCCTCGGCTGGGTCAGTTGGCATTTTTGTATGGAGTTAGCATGTTCTCCCCGTGTTGGCGTGGGTTTCCTCCGGGTGCTCCAGTTTCCCCCACAGTATAAAAACACATGCACTATAGGTGAATTAAATATACTAAATTGTCTGTAGTGTATGAGCGTGAAGGAGTTTCTCAGTGCTGGGTTGTGGTTGGAAGGGCATTTGCTGTGTAAAACATATGCTGGAATAGTTAGTTCATTCTACTGTGGTGATAAATAAAAATAATAAAAAACAATAAAAATTTAAATTAATAATAATAATAATAATAATACACTGGTCTGTTTATTGAAAGTCAGAGAGACCTAGTGTTGTTTTGCTCAAGAACTAGAATTAAGGTTTGAAATAGCATAAAGTTGATTAAATGCCATAATCGCAGAGTAAAAAACAAGCAAGTTACATTTTTTAAGGTGCTTGCTGATAACGACAAGCAATATTGATGTAAAAGTGACATATATTTTGATGTGACTGTTTAGACTGAACATTATATCAGATTTAGGATGTCAAACTGTTTGGATGTATCCCAAATCAGAATTTAAAAAATAGCATTGAATAATAGGATTTGGGCCACATATCCCTACAATTTAAACGTACAGCCAAAGTGACAGAAATTAGAATTGAAAACATTACATATCATGTGGGGCTGTTGACACTGTTCTGTAAAAATCAGTTCACTGATTTGTAAGAAGTGAGACAAAATGGTGCAAAATCGAAAAAAAAACTTTTACAGTTTACTGAGACAAATGAAACCACATTTCTGCGTCTTGCACTAAGCTGCAGAGCTATGCTTTGAAACAACCTTGACACCGCTCAATGCCAATACAATCAAACAATAAACAAGTAATTAACATCTGAAAGCACATTTCAGTGTTCGCAATGTAGAATATTTCATTCAATCTTTATTAAGGAATTATACTTATTCAAAAGAAAACTTGTCTTCCAACATCTTTTGGCTGTGTGCGTGCATGCGTGCATGCGTGTGTGTGTGTGTGTGTGTATGTGTGTTGTAACTGTAGGCTAAAACTATTTAAAGAGCTGAAAGAACATATACATAACATATAGAAACTTAGTCAGCAACCACAAATAATGCAGCTAGTGACCTTCAACAGTTCCTGCTTTATGAAGTAAACATCACTGTGGGAAAGAAGACAGAAATGGAATTCTGTGGCGTATGTGAGGAACTGCAAACACAAGGTTGTTTTAGTAAACAAAAATGGGAACTAAGATTAAACTATTGG